AAAATAAAGTATTCCACAGTATCAATTCATCCAGTTGGCAAGAGTTCCTTTTGTAACCCCTTCCCTAACTCTAACACTAACACTGACTCCCAGTTACCCAATTCATTTGTATATGCCCCCTCTAGATAACTATAGATGTCCTTAGGAAGGGCATGTACAATTAAATGGGGAGTGCTGGAGGGTAGGAGTAGGGTTAGGGTTAGGGATGGGGGGTACAAAAGGAAATCAAGTTAATTTGCAATGAAAATTAACTAGTCAGTGAAATGAAATCGGTGGCCGACACACTCAGAGAAAGTACGGTATTGTCGTACAGTGTTGTATAATTCTTGGGTCGAAGTGACGCACAGTGTATAACTCCGGGGGTCGAGGTGACTAGGGGGCACGGGGTCGAGGTGTCTAACTTGAGGTCGAGGTGTCCAGGGTCGAACAGGATAGGGGTCGAGGTGACTAGAAATCTACAAAGAAACTCCTTTCCCATCATCAGTTTCCTATACTTGTATGATGGGTACAAATGAAGGTTTTATAAGACAAACCTAAGTTATTTTTTATTCAATCAACATTTGTATGGGGTGTAAGTTTTCTAGCCCCGAGTACAGTCCTGTAGGTTGGCCTCCTTCCACTGATCATTCGGTCCCAATGACTGAAAGAGGTCAACCTACAGGACTGTACACAGGACTATAAGTCTCCATGACCGTTAGCCGTGGTTTTCGCGGCGTTTTGGGGTCCCAAAACGCCGCCAAACAACGGCTACATGACCGTGCGACCCCAATCTCCGCCGGAAACACAGTCATGGCCTGTACGCAAGAGCTACAGTCAGTAAAAGCATAGATGTACAAAAATGTACGTCCAAGGTAAAATATACTTAGTTACATGTTAGTGTCAGTGTGAACGTTAACATGACTTACCTGCTTGGCAATAGCTCGTCTGAATATAGAAGCCATACTACATAATGTTTACATGTTCAGGTCAAGCGAACAGTCAAAATGAAGTCTGAATTTCACACATTAATTACTTTTAAATCATATATGCGTCAACCGAAAACACATCTATGTCACCTCGTAACAACAAATTCACTTGATAACACACAGTATATTTCGTCTTTGCTTATAATTCCCCACAAGAGAATACACGTGTGTTGTCTGCAACGACCGGGAACTTCGAACTGTCTGCTGGTCATGCGCACTCGTTGGCGGGGAAGCCCTCTGACGTCAGGAACACCAAAAGGTGTTTTCCCAAACCAAAATGGCGTTAGTGAGCGAGAATGATGCACCGAGGAAGTTGCTCCTGTCCATCGTTGTTGTCTTGGTAATATCGCCCATATCACGTACTAGTTCAGAAGGACCACGATCAAGGAGTATCCGTGAGCGGTCTGAGCAAGGATTTGAAAAGTTTGCAAGCAACAAAGAGGTAAGTGATGCGGTTACATTTTAAATTTATTTATAACAAATCATGTCAATGTCAATGACGTCATCGCCAGTTTGCGAGTGCCGTATTTCTACACAAAACAATATTTGATGATCACCCTGAGCAGAATAAGACGTTGTTTGCAAACTCCGTTCTGTATTAACAATAATAAAAAAAAAACTCTAAACGTTCATTTATTTGAATATCACTGAATGTTAATATTTAACCACGGTTCTCTGCAGAGGCACTATGATTTAACCAAATGACAATGTAATATTACGCCATAAACCAAGAGCACATGATTACGCTGTTGTTAATACAGTCACTGAAATCCGTGTATTTTTTTTTTCTAATATGAGATCACACACGCACAACACAACACTGTGGCTATTTTAAATTGATGAATAAAGGCGTCTAGCAAAAACAAACACCCATCCTTGACTGGAGGCCATATCAGGGAATTTGAATAAAGGTTGTATTCACTAGTAAATTTTTATTTGTCCAGCTGCTTACCAGCCATCAAAAACGGTTTCTTAGCACAGTATAGTTACAGTCATATTTACTTGACATTATATATGTATTGCTCTCACAGGGCACAAAATACTGCTTTTCTTTGTGTTATTACTATACAATATTTACTTAAAATCAGGGTCTTTTAAGGATTCAAAAAGTTGAGTTTCTAGAATTTGTAGTTTTCAAATTACTTCTATATTTCCATAGATCCAGTGTGCAGGGTTGCCTTACAAAATGTCAGTAAAATCTTGTATAAAACGTGGTGGTACTAGCATCCATGAAGGACAATGGAGAGCAAGGTCATACTGACAAGAATAACCAACAGGACATTTACCAATTGTTCAATGAGCTACAAATAGATGTTTACCTTATCAAGATTCTCTGGCTCATTCAAGGCCACCCAGATTTCTTTTTTTGGTTGTTTCCTCACAAGTGAAATTTAACAAAATGGGCCTTGTTTCGCAGAGTCCGTGAAAATATGTAATATATAATATTCTAAAGTGATGGAAAATTTTTTTTCTCCAAATATAAATCAACTTTAAACTTGTCAAGGTATCATTTACATGTCCTGAACATCATAATGTAATACAAGAATAATCTTTATTCAGTATTATATGGATGAAATAAATACGTAAAAATTGGCCAAAAACATGGCTTATTTGTTATTGTCCAAATATTCTCAATCTGATTTGGTGTACATGTAATACAATGAAGACCAAAAACCCATATATGGTTCAAGTTTGTTATGAACCTAAATATTTATAAATTCAATTATAGTTGTGTTACGAAAAGAGCGTTGTGTTCAGGGAACTTTCACTGGCTTGGCTGATAACACTCACACGTAGAGATACCAGGTTCGACCCAAATGAATTACATGTTAGTTCATTACAGATATTCCAGCTTTTTTTATCTAAACTGTCAGCTGAGGTAACCTCTCAAGGTCTCCATCTCTCCTTCTAATCTAACAAACTCCTCAATAAAACTCTAAGGCGTGGCAGAGTAAACATGCGACCAGTCAATCGCTGCAGCGGTTGGCATGATCACATGATTACCAGGGATGTGTCTTACGGTTAAACCATTGCGAAGTTACCACGACTGAATACAATCATTAGTAAACAATCTATTTATAAAATTCCTGCAATATAAGTTTATTATGTCTACTTTAAACATGCAAGTTGTTGGTTCTAAACAATGCTGCAATGTCATGTGAACCAAATGTTCGTACATGATGTCGTTATGGTAACAAGAATACAGTGCTTTCAGAAAAGCAGTTTCCATATTTTATGAGTAGTTTCATTTAAATCCAATTTGGACAACTGGATTGCAGGCTGTAATAATTCAAATGGTGCTGCAAAGCAAATCTGATTCTGGTTGATACTGTACCATTTTACAATGACTTCTTACTGTGTGCATGCAGACTGGGGCATCCCTTCCAGGGGTGTGTATTAATCCACAGTGATGCAAAGGCGATAATTCTGAATAGTCAAAGGAAAGTTTTCAAATTTAACAAATATTTCATGTTTATAAACAGGAAATATTGGAAAAGGCTTTTCTGAAAGAACTGTAGTCGTAATACTGTAACGGGATATTAAACAAGAGAATATTATATTTCATCTAGAGTGAGAGTTCATAAAATGGAGGGTAGTACCAGCCTTGCTGATTAAATTTTCTTATTTGCATTTGTTATGAAATAGTTTATAAATATATTTCTACATATTTACATGGGTTTGTGCTTTACAATATCTTACAAATTGCAATTCCGTTACGTTGTAAATTGCAAAGTATTTTGTATGTATTCAATATTGCGTTAATCACATAATGTTCTTTTTCATTACAGGTGCTGAGATCCAATCATTTACAACAGTTTTACAATTTACTTTCAAAGCCAAATACATTAACAAACTTGCGAACGAAAAGGGAAGTTACATCAGCTAACGATTTGAAATCGTTACTTGAAAGACTAATACAAGATGCATTCAACCATGTAGAGGCTGTATACCCGGTGAGTAGTCAGTCAGTCAGTACCATATAACTCTGAAATGGAGAAATTCTCCCAATTACAGTAGTACCAATTTTAACAAATCCTCCTTTATTTCTAGGTGTAGACAAATTACTGTAAAATACTTTATTTTCGTTTTGAATTAATTTTCGCAGAAAGGAATGATTCAGTGAAAATAAAATCCAGCAAATATACCTTTTTTCCTATATTTTACATTCAACTCATCAAATATCAGTGACAACTAATTCTATGCAAAACACCCAAAAAGTCTTTTCTGCGAAAATTAATTCCAGCTAAAATAAAGTATTTTACAGTTGTTTGAAATATTGGGAGAATGTATTCCAATCAATTTTTAGCCTATTTACCCTGTATAAAAAAACAACAACATACATTATAGCTGATTTTTTTTTTTTAAATCGAAAACTGAATGTACCTCATACATTATGACACAATTTGGAGGAAAGCATTGTACTATAAACTACTACGTAACAACATCAACGGAAAAGTATACAACATAATTAAGAACATGTACACTAATATGGATTTAGTAGTCAAATTAGGTGATGTAATAACAGAACAATTTAAAACTAAAAATGGAGTTAAGCAAGGTTGCCTTCTGAGTCCAACCCTGTTCAACATCTTTATAAACGACTTTATCACAGGACTCACAGAAATTGAAACAAATGCACCAGA